ATAACTGAGTTACTAATTGTGTTTTCTGTATTCTTTTGATCTTGTTATTCCATTGTGTTCATGACATGTTTATTTAACGGCCAACATCTCTTGTAGGTGTTGGTCGGTGTCTTCGTTCTTCAACTTTTTTAAATTATCTGAGCTTCACAGTCTTTATTCCAACCTATAATACGTGCCAACTTAGGAAGAGGGATTAAATGGATAAATCCATTAATTAGGAAGAGGGAAGGCTGCTGTGAAATCTGAACAAGTAGTAGAGAAAACCAACCCTCTTCTTCAGGCGTTACAATTTGGTAGTCGTCAGTTAAGCTGCTGATCCCGACCGACGTACTGGTGCGTGACTTGTCATTTGAATAGCTAAGGTTAGCTCGTCACAATGTATTTCACATTCAACAGTCATTTTCATAGATATTTTGGATGAAAAATATTTCATTCCTATCACGAATTGTAACTCCCTTTGTCTAACAGTTTCTATGAAGTCCCTGCTATCACAGAAGGCGTTGACAACCTGTCTACAACAATCGATCAGCTGTCTGCTGGGGCTGTGTTTTAGGGTGGGCGGGTCTCGCAAAGTGTGCCCAGTTTCACGGCGTCGTTTCACACACTTTAAGACAACGCGAAACTCACAGAAAACGATAAGTTTGAGGGCACACTACGACAGATGAAAGCAAGGAACACAAACGACGTGTCAATTTGTCCTGCCACATGAAATCTTCCTTCCGCTTTGCGTAAGGGGGAATTAATTTGAATTGCAAATTTGCCCAACTTCAACGTTCTAAATATTTCCGGGATCTGCCGCAAGACTTGGCACTTCCTCGCAATATTATTCAGCTCCCAAGTCCTCAATTAGTCGCGTGCATTAAGGGGAGCGTCTGGATGAAAAAAATTTGTAATTAGCGATGGATCATTTTGAAACTTGGTAGATATGTGTAAGTCAGAAACCTGAGACGTTTTGTTTGTTCAGATTTTTCGAAAAAAATGAAAGAAAACGCGAGATTCAAAGAGAACGCCAAATCAGGGGCACTGTAAAAATCTATCTCCTCATTCAATTAACGTGTTATAACATAGAGAGACATATTATTTGATTCGTGAAGATCATATCTAGCGATTGACCGACCACTTTTTCCGAATTCTCATTTTTGGGGAGGCGAGGGATTTTTAGATTTTTTTCAATTTCCGCCCCTCCCCTTGATTTTTAAATATATAATCCAAACTATAACTAGATGAAAAAAGCGACCGGTTGATCGCGAGATATTTTTGTACAAATCGAATGGTATATCTCTCAATGCTGTAGGAGGAGATGGATTTTGAATTTTGGAAAGAGATATATTTTTAAAATTGCGTATTTTAGAAATTTTGATTGTTCAAGGGTGCAAAATAAGTCCAATTTATCGAAAAAAGAAGAAGATACAAAATTGCTTGATACTGCAGCCAAAACTTCCCATTGCCAATTACTCATATCGAGGATACCAGCGCGCGTCTGTAGACTTTTCTTGTCCAGTTTAATGCGAATAAGAAGCTATAAACGTGATTTTTCTGATTTGTATATTTCTATAAAATGTTCATTTTATAAAAGTTCAAACGGCCTAACGCAAAAAGTCTTGCATGTACATTTTTGGTATTAGCTTTATTGAACGCGTCTTATTAGTAGCTTTCAAACGAGTTTAAAAACTTTGTGATTACCGCAAGTAATCTATAAATAGCGTTTAGAACAAAAATTGTTAAAAATTGTTGTAAAATTATCATTTTATAAAAGTTCAAAACGGCCTTACGCAAAAAATATTTCATGTACATCCATGGTTGCTGGTTCATCGACCGCGTCTTGTTCGCAGCCTTCCAACGAAATCAAACACTTCGTAATTACGCGAATAATGATCAATAAATACAGATTTAATTAAATACATAATTATAGAAATACTTATTAAATGTTAATTTTATAAAAGTTTAACTCATCCTCACGAAAGAACCATGTAAGCTAAGTCATCGCGGTTTGTTGTAGCCGCTTTGCAATAATTCTTCTTAAAAATGAAATGAAAACACAGCAAACGTAATTCCTTTGTTTTTATCAAGGCGCTCGCCTTAAACATGAACCAGCTTATTTGAGGTCCCCTAAAGAAGAAATGAGATATTCTCGGATTGAATAAAGTTTTTGTTGTTCAAAATATGAAATTAAATGACGTAAGAACGAAATTCATGCCTGACATTGATTCTTCTCTTTAGAATAAGAATTTATTTCATGCATATATATACAGTACATGATGTACATGTAGAGTATATACGGAACTTACGTAGAGTCCACGGAGTTCAGTACCAGTATTCCAGTATATCTGCACATTGTTTAGATTTATTGTATTTTTATTGGATATATACTTGAGCAGACGTACCTGGGGGACCGTAGAGCAGACGTACCAGGGACCGTAGAGCAGACGTACCAGGGACCGTAGAGCAGACATAGCAGGGGGGCCGTAGAGCAGACGTACCAGGGACCGTAGAACAGACGTACCAGGGACCGTAGAGCAGACGTAGCAGGGGGACCGTAGAGCAGACGTACCAGGGAGACCGTAGAGCAGACGTACCAGGGCTGTCTCTTATACACATCTAGATGTGTATAAGAGACAGCAATTGTAGCATCAAATATTGTGAATTCGTTTTAGACCGCGCCAGCTGGTAAAAATTAGCCAGTCGCGTGTTAGCGTCATTTTATGCTCGACGTCGTGGGGTGAACATCTTCTG